TCGTAATTCATAGACTGCTCCGCTACTTCACGGCAAAAACTTGGATAAATCCGGTCTACTAGCCCATCCGTAGACCGAGTGACCTACAATGTGCCACGCCATCAATACAAATGAAGTACTGAGAAATCAGAAATTTGCTCCTTCGAAGCTTTACTGTTTTAAAACGACGCCGACTCAGGATCTCTTCCCGAGCTTCTTCAATCGCAGTGCCTTGCTTTTCTTCCCTTTTGTCTCTCGACGGTAACACCCCAACTGAGTGGTGTAGTAAAATATATAGAGATGCCTTTTGAATCACGTTTATGCATGCCAAAGTAATCAGTTGAAAGGTGGAACTCATTCTCAAACAAACAAATTTATATCAACAAAATCACATGAGAAAGGAGCCAGCCAAACTTGAGGCAGAGAAAATCTTGGGAGAAGAAGAAAGGAAGAAAATTCATGAGTCCTGTCTTTCGTTTGATTTGCAGATCTACTAAAGAGACACTACTGTAAGTCTTAGTGTCTTATATACTCAAACTCAAAGATTGGGCAGAGGAGATGATGAAACAAATAAAGAGGTAGATTTTGTCTCAAAAAGACTGAAGGGCAAGAGAATCTCGTGGAGAGGAAGGAGAAGTTTTCAAACTGGGAGAATTGCAGGAGGTGCCGGCGGTAACACATAAGAGAAGAGAGCGGTGAAGTTAGGTGGGATGGAGGAAATCATAATGGTAGCGGTAACTGGGAGGTTTGAGGTCAGGATATGCAGAGAAAAAGCTTGAAGGATCCTGTCATTGGTAGATTTTTCAGGGGGCGAAAGAACTTGAAAATAAAAAGAGGACGCGGCACATTATGGGTCACTCGGTCTACAGGTTGGACCGTAGACCGGATTTACCCAAGTTTTTGCTCTAATTCACTACTTCGTGCCGAGAACTGGCGTTTGATAAGTAAATTTTTCGGCGTTTTTATCTAAAATTTTACGGTAACTTATTATAGGAGTTGTAAAAAATCTTTTTGAAATATATAATATTTTAAATTTTTTTGAAATATATAAAATTTTAAATTTTTAAAATTTTTGAGATTATTATAGTTAAAATTATTAAAAATTTTATTAGAAACAAACTTGAAAAAAAAATTTACCTGGCAAATAAGGCCACAAGGGAAATGGGGCAGGGACGGTTAACGGCCCAGATTTCCCCTCAAAAATTTGTGCGGCTGAGATAACAAGTTGTAACTCGATTCCGCGCTGTGTGTGGGGCCCACCACTATCTGTTGTGAAAATACATCCTGTGAAAAAAAAGTTACACGATGTACAAAGAAAGTTACGCGCAGTTGATAATGATAAAACTTGCCAGGAACGGTTGCAGGTGCAACCGTCCCTGCCCCGAGTCCGGCCACAAGCTACAGAACAAACACCAACTCAAACCACGTCACCACGGCCTCTGCCATCATCATATCATCATCATCATCATGCCATATTTTAACAATAATGCGCTCAATTAATTACCATATCTACGCTTTTGAATCGATCCCATACAAATTACTATCCGACTTGTGAATGCAACAATAATAATACAGTGTTCTTTTACCCTTGACACTCTATGGGAGTGTGCATTTTATCCTTTTGCAGCTGCTGATGGCCATAACCTTCCCCCTTGGCACCAGTGCCTCTCCCCCTTTTTTTTTTGGACTAATAGACGTAAAAGAAAAAGAGAAAAACTTGTAGTAGTACAATGGCATAGAAATAGCATCCATAATTCTTAAGTTCACTATTCTTTCTCCCACAGTCCCGTTTCCAGTACTACCCCTCTGCTACAACAGCAGCATTCAAGCTGAAGCAGGGCTTTGCTCTTGTTTCTGTTAACAAAACAGAGCCCTGCATCAGTCAAGAGGACACTCCAAAGTGCCAACTCGCCTCGTCCTTTTCTCTTTCTCCCTCCCCACCCCTCTCATTGCCAGTATCTGTACCTGCTTCGCCTTTTTCACCGTCTATCTAACACCAAAACGAACGCATAACCCCCACCCCATTTCACATTACCCCAAGACTAAAAACTTTTCTTCTTCCACCTTTCTTCACCAACTCATTCCCCATTGATTCCTCCCAAACAGAAAAGACCAACAGCAAACGAAAAGATACAACCCAAAAAAGAAACAATAACCACATACTATACTATTCGAGCAACCCACCCACATGGATCTCCCCTCATTCCCTGCTTCCACCTCCCCCATTCTCGTCTTCTCCCTAGCTTTCCTCACCCTTTTCACAGGTAAGCAAAACATTTCTTTACTCCCAAAATATCAGCACGTTTTCACCAACTACATTAAATGTATAGGCCATAGATTTCGTTTTCGCTAATCTTTTCTTTTAATTATTGCTTTGGAATAATCACTAGGTGGTAAGCTAAAGATTTTGGATTTGGGCTTTCTTTGCTCCGCATTCTCTTAGTCACGTTTCTTTTTTCAGGCGTTCGCGGTACTACATTCACATTTGTGAACAAATGTGAGTACACAGTCTGGCCAGGGGTTTTAGCAAATGCCGGCAGCCCAAGTCTCGACAGCACCGGGTTCGAGCTCCCAAGCGACGCTTCGCGCTCCTTCATCGCTCCGACCGGCTGGTCCGGCCGATTCTGGGGAAGAACGGGCTGCAACTTCGATGGATCCGGGTCGGGTTCATGCGCCACCGGCGACTGCGGGTCTGGCCAGGTGGAATGCAACGGCGCAGGAGCTGCCCCACCGGCGACGCTGGCTGAGTTCTCCTTGGGGACTGGCGGCCAGGACTTCTATGACGTCAGCCTCGTGGACGGCTACAATGTGGCCATGATAGTTGAAGGGACGGGCGGGTCGGGAATGTGCGCTTCGACGGGTTGCGTGACGGATCTGAACAGGATCTGCCCGGCTGAGTTGCGGGTGGGGGATGGAAATGCTTGTAAAAGCGCCTGTGAGGCCTTTGGGAGTCCAGAGTACTGCTGCAGCGGCGAGTACAACTCACCGTCGTCGTGTAAGCCGTCGGTTTACTCGCAAGTGTTCAAGTCGGCTTGCCCGAGATCCTACAGCTACGCTTATGATGACCCAACTAGTACTTTCACCTGCAGCGGTGCTGATTATACGGTCACGTTTTGCCCCTCTATGCCCAGGTAAGTTTACACATTTCCTTTCTCATTGTTAGTTTTGTTTTGGGGCTGGTATTTAATTGAGACTTGTTATATTTTTCAGTAGTGTAAAAAAAAGGATGGAATTAATAAGGTAGCATTAAGAGTATTTTCTAATTTCTCCTTTTCTTTTCTTTCATGGGAATTCTGGTGCAAGATAAAATGATGTCCCATTCTCCCTGTCCTTCCTAATATGAGGGTAAAATGAAAGTATCCTTACCTTTTAGACTAAAAGTTTTACTCCCCGTAACTCCATAAACATCTATGCAAATTTAGCTTAGCAGAGTGATATTTTTTGTGATGTAGTGTGCATTTACTCTTTCTTTCATCCTATATCATCGTTGATGAATGGCTCTCAGTGCAATTTAGCAAGTTGATGGGGTAATAAATGTTTCGCCAAATGATCTGAACTGGGTGGTTACTTGTACTGCAGAAGTTAGTAAATGTGATTGGTGTAGTCCATGGTTAATGCATCATACTGATTATCTATCCCCTGTGAACTGTGCAGTCAGAAATCCTCGAAAGATCCTACACCAACGACAACGACAACGACATCGACGACAAATGGTGGTGATGGGTCAATGTCAGAATCAGGTAATATGGGGTCACAAACCGGGTCAGGTTCGATGGTTATTGACTCTGGCTCGGAGTCGGATACAGGTTCTCAGGCTATGCTGGCAGATGGTTCGTATTTGGCTGGTCTGGCCCTGGGGGGCTCAACCAGGACACTTGCTGCATCTGTTTTGCACTCCGGGCTATTATTCGCCGTCGCTGCACTCAGCCTCTGCTTTCTGCAGTTGTAGGAAGAAATTATTATTGTGTCTTGCTTTTCTGGGTTTTGGTCTCCCATGCATACATAATTTTGATTCACTGAAAACGGACCAGCAGCAGGGCTTGGTTGGCCGGAAATGAGATGGGGTTTTGCACATTGTTAGTCCTTTTTCTAGGAGTAGTCTCTATGTATTTCCCTTTAAATGTGCATACGTAATGTTCTTTTCCTTTCTAATTTTATTAACTTTGTTCCATTTCTAAAAGTTTTGTTGGTATCAAGTTTGCAAGAGCTGAAGTATGCTCGTTTGTAGGGTTGCTGTTTAGTGGGCTGCTTTGAAGAGATTTTTTGCGAAAATGTTTTTACTTTGAGGAACGGGAATAGTTTGGCAATAATACTTGGGGAACTAATGCGCAGAAAGTATGGTTTTGGGGAACTAATGCAAAGAGGGAGTGATAAAGGCACGCTTTGCGGGAATTGCAAGCATGGCTTTAACAAGTGTTTTTGTCTGCTATGGTAAATGCATCCATTACCAACAGAACCGTGTCCTCTGCGGCTCAGCAATGGTAAATGGGGATGTTCACCATATATATGGTAAGCAGCTGCGCGCATTTGGGATGATGTATGAAACGGGTTGTTGCATTTCAAAGGTCGTCATCATCCCTTTGGCCCAATACGGTTTCATTAGTCATCTGGTCTTTGAATTAGAATGGAATAAAGTCAAAAAGTGGGATTATCTTGTCCCGTGGGCCGTGCCTCATCCTCTTTCCTCTCCGGCTTTAGAAAAAAGGTGAGGGAAGGAGCATGTAGTGGACTTTATTTGATAATTTTCTAACTAATCCCAAACTGAATTCTAAGTGGCTCATAAAGTTATTGCTGGCCGAATAAATTGATGAGAGATTAAATTAGATCTGGGAGGGAAAAAGAGGCTGCCTGCCTGCTGCCTTTTCCTGCAGATATGCCATGTATTCAGAAGAATCCACTCCCTTGTCTAACCTTTAAAAAGTACTGCAATAATCTTTGGCAATATCAGATTATGTTTGCATGAAAAGATGTGGTATTGTGCTCTATAAGCTGCATCGCGGCTCCTATATCATATTCCGTTCATACCAGGAAAACGTTCTAATCAATTCCTGCCCGAGGTTGACGGCTGGGGTGCTGCGAGTTGGAATTTTTAATTTTAGCAGGTAAAGTCCATTTTTCTAATGGAGAAAAAAGCATACCTAGCTACATCAGGCCTCATAGCCGGATTTTTTTTGTAATTTAGTTACAGGAAGTTATGAAGTCCATTCTAGTAATTGGTTGATGTTACTAAGATTTACAGCTGAATGTTTAGATGTCTCGTTTCATCACCTTGACAAAGGGAGAATGTTGAGGTGACTGTTCTGTTGCCGTAGCAAACAGTTACCTTGTATTCACCAAAGAATCCGTAGAAACTAAATGAACCATGATCATCTGTTTGACCCTCGACCGCCCCAGTTTGCCATTCTTTGAGGAGATTGTCAACAACATCCCCGGCTGGGAGGTTGCGAAAATTGTTGTCCGTTAAGCACATTTGATAACACCCATTAGGATGTAATGCTGTCCAAAGCATAATGCCATTTACAGAAGGATGTGAGAAGCCCTCTCTCAGAACCGCTTCAAGATACCTAGCCTGATGAACAAAGAACCGAAAAAGGAGTTCAGGATCAGATTATTAGCTACAGAGATTCTAAAATTGTGCAAGTAACTAATAATGATTCAACCGAAAAGGTATCAGACCTGAGTTTGTTCATCGAGTGTATTGCTGATGTCTACCTCTGTAAGCCAAATTGGAAGGTTTAGTGTTGCCAATTTATCCAGTATTGCCCTCATTAGTGGAGGGTTTGGAATGGTGAAGTGACTTTCTAGGCCAATTCCGTCCATTGAAACTCCGGCTCTCTCGAGTTCTCTCAACCTCGATATGTAGGCATCCACGGTGGAGTTCATGTCAAAACAAGTCTCCACCACATTATAGTCATTCATAAACAAGGTGGCTAAAGGGTCTGCTTGATGGGATGTTTCAAAAAATTGCAGACTGGCATCCGGACCGAGTTTTTGCTCGTAGAAGTCGAAATGAAGCATTTCATTGCTCACATCCCAGTGTATGAACTCACTCTTGTATTGAGACATTAAACTTTGTATGCGTGAGTTGACAGCCACCTTCAGTTCTGGTCCGGTGAGATTGAGAACCCACGAAGGTGAATACTTGGGGTTCTCCCAGAATATGTTATGACCTCTGACCATGATTTGGTTGGCACGAGCAAATTCCAACATCTGATCTGGCACTGTGTAGTTGACAATTCCTTGCTGAGGCTCTGTTGCGTACCACTTGAGTTCGTTTTCGAATACCGCAGCATTGAACCGCTCCACAAACCAGTTCTGAAACAATTTGTTTTCTTTGGTTGGCTCCTTGTTTCTCCATGAACAAAGACTTTCTTTCAAACTCGAGTAACACTAGTCTAACAGACCAAACCTGGTATGGCAAATTTCCAAGGATAGTGCTGGCAATTGCAGATCCGAAAGGAAACTCTCTTGAAATTTGCTCCACCTCAACTAGTGCTCCTTCCAACCTCCGTCCATGGACATCTGCTACGTGTATCATGGCGGCACGTTTTCTTTTCTGGAGCATTTTTGGTAATTGAAATCAGAATGTTGCTACAGATGCTACGGGAGTGGAAAGAGGCGCGCAATTATTGATAGATATTAAAAAAAAAGAAGAAGAAGAAGATGCAGAACGATTTAAGTACAGTATTGATACTATATTCTTGGTTTATCCTCCATTGCTCCTGAGTGAAAGGCTGCAGAGAAGCGCTCGCGATGCTTATATTGACATCTCCCCCATCTGCATCCTGCCACGCGGGAGAAAAGAATTTGACAAAAAGATCCGGGGCTTAATTTCATGTACGATTAATAAATTGACATATGGTGGCAATGATTTTAATGGGGATGATTTTAGTGGGAGTAACCTACCTGAAGAAACAGAAAAGTAGAATTCGAAGTTGAGTCGAGTACAAAGCCACCTTTGAGAAATGACCAGCAGTCTTGCCTTGCGATTACAGTCCCCGCGCATTGATACGTCGTTTTGTCTGTTGTCACGCTTGCCTGTATGGAGGATGAATCTACATCTTCTACCTTTAGCCAACCTGTTTTTTAGCGTATACCAATTATGTATGTTCTGGACTTGTTCAACATTAAGTTCTTACAAGTACAAAAAACATCCAAACTACGGGTACAAACGCATTGACACAGTTACGATTGAACTCCCAATCAGCCTTGCACCACCATTAATTCTGTTCCGCGAAACTATTTTTACTTCATTGAATAATGTCCCGTTACTCCAGGAAAAAAATTCTTGTTCAGGGATTTTTTTTTTTTTTTTTTTTTGGGTTCATAAATTTGATGTACTTGGCAACCAAGGCGCGAAGTATCACCGAAACGTAGCATAGCCTCGGCGCTGGTTGTTTCTAGTCGTTTTTACACCAGTTGGTAGTTTGTGTTGAAATTTACTAGTTCATGGAAAACGTGTAGGTAGCTGAATAAATATTGCACTCAACTGGAGAAGGAATAGAAGGTTTTGCCGGGGAGATTGTAGAAGACGAACGCTGCAGGGGAATTATCTCGACTTCCAGACAAGCTGAGCTTGTGATGCCTTCTACCATGAACTCGATCCTTTATAATCCCACCATTGTATAGGGGATCTTCTGGTGCTGATTTGCACTTGTGAAGAAAAGGGGGCCGGGGGGGAAGCAGAAGAAGTTTTTGAGTGCAAATGGGGCAGTAGTGAATTGATGTTTGAGAATGATCACTACAAAAACAATAACAATTCTTTAAAAGTAAACATTGCAATATAACATTTTGATTCACTTACTGCAGTGTAGGCAGAATAGTCATAGACAGGTCCATCTGCAGCCAAGCGAGAAGTTTAGGGGAAAAAGAAAAAAAAACAGAACACAAAATAACGTTGAAAAACATACGCCAAAAAAGAAGAAAAAGAAAAGCGAGAGAGAGAGCTGGCACCATAAGCAACAGAAAATGAAGAGCCAATAAGCAGAGTTACCACCAAGAAAGAGGAGGCTAACAAGCGATCATCCATACTGTCCACTACAAGCTGAAAATGCATAGAAATCTCTCCACCCAATTAATTCGATTCTGAACTGGCCTATATTGTGGTGTCTGCAAGGAGCTCCCACAATAATTAATATTTACTCAAATATCAAGTACTAGTAACAAATCAATGTCATGCAAGAACGAACATGCGTCTTAGGCAGAAATCCTGATGCAAGTGTTTCTTCGATTTTTTTTTTTTTTAAACTTTCAACCTACTTAAATGGTTAGGTAATTGACAAGGTTTGGGTTGAATATCTATCTATTCACATACATATTGGGTTTGTTGTGGTCGAGTTTAGGACCGCACCTCTGTCTGCATTTGAGTGTGCTGATAGAAATATGAAAATTCTACTCTACGTACGTACGTATGTTGCAGCTGGCCACTGGCTTAAGCTTAGAGCCTTGCCCTTCGACGTCTTTCATCTTACTTTTTCAGCTATACTTGCTTTCCACAACTATGCACAATGACAGATTACCGTCTCAACTTTGTTTTCTATTTAATGTCTGAATGAAGTTTAGCAAAGATCCCTACACAATACAATTCAAAAGAGAAAAAAAAAAACTTGAAAAGAATAGGAAAAGTTTTACGCGGATGATGCAATTGCTGCGGTTTAAGGAGTGTGGAACGGAGAATCTGCAAGACCAAAGAAAAGGATTGAGAAGAAATTAAGGAGCAAGACAAGAAGAATCATATATCCTCAAGACAAAGACAAAACAAGGTTCTACTACGATTGCAAGTAATATATGCCATAGAAGGAAGGATGTACCGTCGGCCACTTATTAGGAGAGTTCTCTTGCTGCCATCCGAAACCCAAAGGCTTACATCTAAACCTCCCTCTCGGGCACGCGAAGACGGCCACGCCAATTTTCCAGCTTTAGGATTCAGATGATCACAATATAATACTTTCATGACATGCAACTTAGTATAAATAAATTAGACTTGTTTGTGTGCCAAATTGTTTTGGAAGTCATTGGATCATAGGTAAGTTCTTGAAATCCCAGGATTCTATTAAAAATGCAATACAACATGCTCCATTATTTATGGTAGGCTCTAGTTCATGAAAACATATAGAAAATTTTTCAACAGCAAAAAAAAAAAAAAGAATTGTCCTTTCTATACTATATACTAATAGAAAAAAGATTCAAGTCATTTCGGAATTGATTTTATTTTTTTGATTAAAAATTAAAAGAATGATTTGATTGACTTAATTCACGATATAAAATATTTTCAGCTCCTAATTATTAAGACATCTCTGTGTTTACATGATATGGGTTTAAATCCACGAATTCTAGCGATCTTACTGTAATTCCACAAACACTACTAACTTTTCTAGGATTAAAAACAAATTTATAGATTTGAGTTATAGAATCATATAGATTTGGATTATAAAATTATTATAGGATTGTAAGCATGCATGGGTCACCATTTTAACATAAAAACGCATGTTCGGCCGACACTTCGTTCACGGAACACCAAACCAAGAGGAATGTTGCGAAAAGCCGCGGTGCGATCCAATTTTTCACCCACTCAATTCTGTTGAATGTTGAATCTTAGTAGTATTTTCTGGGTCGAAAAACGGCTGTGTCTAAGATAGGCCCATTTCTGCAGTAAACCAGGCCAGATCCTGAACTAGAATAGCTGAGCTGTTATTGGCATTTCAAGGGTCCATACCTTCTAACTGAGAAAAGAAAAGAAAAGGAAAAAATAAAAATAAAACACGCTCGCTCATACTCATTGGGCAATTTCTTTATTTTCTAATTCTCTGGTTGAATCACAATAATGTTTTTAGCACCCTAATCCTGGTTGAGTTAACCCCTGACAGTTTAGATCACAGCTCATAGTATTTCAAGGACGAGAGAAAGACGCTATATAATATATATATATATATATATATATATATATATATATATATGTGCTTAATTGAAGTGTTGGCGTATTGTTTTGTAATTGCATACGCATGAAGCCTTTGCTAAAAAAATTAGCGCCAAAGTATTGGTCACTACACTAGTGCAGAGTGGTATTCCAGAGTTATATTTGGATATTAAAGTGTCGAGTCTCATCTCCTTGGCTGAGCGAGAAGCTTGAGTTGACGCTCTTGTCACCATACCTGGCAGTTACCTTGTATTCACCCAGAAAGCCATGAAAGCTGAACGAACCCTGCCCATCGGTATGGCCCTCTAACGTCCCTGTTTGCCACTCTCTAAGGAGCTTGTCAACCACATCTCCCGCAGGAAGGTTATGAAATTCATTATCAGTGAGGCACATTTGGTAACAGCCATATGGATGAAGTGCTGTCCACATCATTATTCCTTTCACGGACGGATGGGAGAAGCCTTCTCGCAAAACTTCTTCTAGGTAAAGACCCTGTTCACCAAAAAAAAAAATTTTTTATGGTGAAGTGTAAAGATCTAATTCATTGTGTTTTGGTAAAGGAGTAAAAAAAAGTTAACCAGGTGAATTGAATTACATTAGGGGCGGCGCTGATTAAATTCGTTGAATCTTCAGAGGCAGAATGACTATAAGAGAGAGAGAGATACTCACTTGTGTTTCCTTAGTAAGAGTTTTGCTAATATCAACTTCTGTTAGCCAAATTGGAAGTCCTAGCGTAGCAAGTTTATCGAGAATGGCTCTCATTAGAGGAAGATTAGGTACTGTAAAGTGACCCTCAAGGCCGATTCCATCCATTGTTGCTCCGCCTAGCCTGAGTTCTCTTAACCTTGAGATGTAGGTGTCTACTGTGGAATTAACGTCATCGCAAGTCTCCACTACGTTAAATTCGTTCAGAAACAATGTTGCTAAGGGGTCTGATTTATGCGCTGTCTCAAAGAAGCTTAAGGTGGCATTTCGTCCAAGCCGTTGCTCGTAGAAATCAAAATGAAGCATTTCATTGCTCACATCCCAGTGGATAAATTCTTCTTTGTATTTCTCCATGAGGCTCTTTATTCTGGAGTTTACAGCTGACTGCAGCATGGAATCTGTCAGATTGAGAACCCATTCTGGTGTGTACTTGGGGTCCTCCCAGAATATGTTGTGGCCTCGAACAATGATTTGGTTGGCTCGTAGCAACTCCAGCATTTGATCAGGTATCGTGTAGTTGATCTGCCCTTGTTTAGGCTCTGTTGCATACCACTTGAGCTCGTTTTCAAAAACTGCTGCGTTAAACCGCTCTTTGAACCAACTCTGAAACCATAGAGAAAGACTCTGGTTAACATTGAGCTCTGCTTCTGGCATGAAATAAGTCAATCCGTTGAAAAATGCAAACGCCGTCAGCATGTTGGCTCAAGTCATAGTAAACATTTGCATTGCGGCTAAGCTACTATATATGGGGCTTCAGTGACTGATTTCAGACCTGGTATCGCAAATTCCCGATGATGGTCTTTGCTATCGCTGAACCAAATGGGAAATCTTTTGCTACTTGTGTTACTGTTATTTCTGCACCTTCCAGTTCAACGCCATCTTTGCTGGAAACATGAATAGCGACTGCTCGCTTCCTTGCCTAGAAAATTAGACACGTTAAAAAAACATGGCTGATTCCGGCCGGGGCTAACATATTCCATCAGAATATGCCTATACATCAGGAGCAGAAAATGCATGTCGAGCTCCAGATTATTGGGAAATAACGAGTTGGAAGGGCATAGTCCAGGTTTTGTGCTCCTCCGCCTCCAAATTGGTGCGAGTTGTGTGTATTTCAATTACCTTGTTAATTTTGTACTGCTGATTTAATCTCCACTGCTCCTCAGTGAATGGCTGCAAGGAATAGCTGGAAAGCACCATACTGATATCTCTGCCCTCTGAAGCCTGCAGAGAGAAAGAAGAAAGCTTATGACCTCGCTTAGTTTCTAGGACTAGGCAACTCCACACGTGTAGGTTCATTTCTGTCATACACATCGTTAAATGGCGGCAAAATACCTGCAAATATAGTATTGAAGAACTGGACGGAGCGGTCAATACGAATCCGCCCTTGAGAAATGACCAGCATCCACGCTCGGCAACAACAGTCCCGGTACAATTTTGGATCGTCGTCTCTGTAACCAGGGTGGCCCTTATGAGTACTGAGCCGGCATCGTTTATCTTGACCCAAGCTGCAAGGGAAAGGCAAAGATGTTGTGAGGTCAAAAAAGTGACAGCAGAGAACAAAATCTGATTAGAAAAGAAAAAAAAATTGAGTGAGGAAATCAACTGGAAAAACAATAAAAGGTGTCCTGGGCGAGGTTTTGCAGTCGAAAGGCAGGGGAATAAACTGGATTCCCCTTGGCCCCTATGACCCATGTGTACTCTGGCTGTTGATCCTCCAGGATCCCTCCATTGTAAAGTGGCTTCTCCGCATGCGGCTTACACTGTTCCACAATGACACCCACCATTAGAGCGTTTTCTTTCTCTTGCAATCCAAACTGTTCAAAGGTAACAAACTACTAGCCAAATACTGCAAGAACTGATGCTCCCTCCTCTACCAAACATTCTTAGTTGCAGCCTTTTTTGGTCAGTCGGATTGAACTTTGGAACATAAAACATTCCATTTAACTTGTTATTGGCTTTCTGAAAGTTTCAAGTAGCAGAAGTACTTGTTTGTTATTGAAGTCGCAATAGTTTACTTCCCAGTTAGTACTATTCAGAACGTTAAATAAATAATGAAATGTAAATTACAAACTTGTTGCTAACTTCCCTCTTCTTTTGAGGGAAAAAATATATATATACACGCTGACACTGTTGGCTAGCAAGATGTTGGTACCAGTAACTAATAAAATAAATCAGATGCCCTCCATGAATGTGTTAAATTTGTTTAAAAGAAGAATTTCCAGCTACCAAATCGCAATTAAGCAACAAATCAGACATTCAATAAATGCAAAAGCTGAATGGAATTAGGAGAGTCAGATTGAGAGTCGCCTCACCTCCGTGTATGCCGAGGAATCATAAGGTGGCCCGTCTGCAAGTCAGCAGATAAAGAGATAATTAAAACATACTAAGTGGTACACAACTAAACGTAAAAACCTAGGAAAAGGCAGCAGTATGAGATAAGATAAGGAGGAGAGAAGCATCACGTAACCAAAAGCAGAAGCGAGGGAAAGGCCAGAAAATAGGCCCAAGATCAGAAAGAGGCAGATGGAGGAAGGCCGTCCCATGGTCTCCCATGTTTTCTCTTTCCCCAGAAATGAGGATGCATTGTTTGGGGAAGAATTGGGCATATTATTGGAAAAAAGAAACAAACTGGTTGGATTCCAGTTGATGTCCTGCAAGAAACTGATAGCTAAACCAGCAGTGAAGGAGTAGCTGCTGGAAACTTGACAAAGAGATGATGGGTATGGGAGTGGGACGGATTCACAAGATAAACAGTGGATGCCCCCTGGCTCTCGGGGAGTGTGTGCTGGTCTGCTTCAGTGGGTAGTCCCCGTGCTATAGTTCACATGCTGTGTAATATATAAGCTGGCTTTGGATTAATTCCGAGTACAGCATTAAAAGTTCACACAAATGAATCTTTCCTGCTCCAATTCCAGTTCTTAGCTGGGTTATTGTCTTGTAGTAGTTGGCTATTTCCATTTTCTGTTGATCAAGTGGATTAATGAGCTCAAATAATAATAATAACAATGCTCGACTTGACCACCAACCATATCAGCAATACTGAAATTGATTTTCTTCAAGAGCCCTGCATTTTTCCTTCAATAGAACTTCTCAACCAAAATCGGCCCAATTATGGCTGTTATTACAGCTTTATATCTTTCCTTTTGTGTTTATATTCCCTTGGAGGTGCGGGCGAACCCATTCAAATTAGAAATTGCAACGGATGGCTGCTGGGTTCAAGATCCAATATGGTAGGTACCTAAATCTCGACACAATTCCCTGTCAACCTAGTGAAAGATTTCCATTTTGGTTAAAAGACTTGAAAGCAGGAACATAATGCCACCTGCTCCACGAAGCTCGTGACGGTGGCAATGCTTCGTGAATGCCACATCGGAAACGACGAAAGATGAGGCTATGCCGCTTGCCCATATTTGTTATGTTTG